CCTGTGTGTGAGACGGTCAGCTAGTCTTTTAACCTCTCTGAGCCACCATGGCCCCATCTATTTAAAATGGGGACCCAGCACCCCACCCTAGTGGGCCAGAGCAGGAGACTAGAGTAACTTGGGACTCTTTAGTGTGGTCATGAATTGTCATTGGAGACCCCTTCTCCAGGGTCAGGGAGCATCAAATGTGATTTTAGACTCAATTTTTTCCCTGTCTGGAATGCCATTTTTCCTGGCAACACTCTACGCATGAGCTTGTGTTTCCAAAAGGAAGCAGAATCACAAATCTGAACTGGCCAGCAGGGCTGCGGGCTTGAGGCCCAACCACAAGCGAGCCAGACTGCCTGTGTCAGCTGGCCGCTGCTGGCAGTGCAGGCAGAACAGGGTCCCTCAGAAAGTCAGGGTGGACATGTCCCCAAGCTGCAGACCTGTGTCCCCTCCCTCACCTGAGCTGGTAGGGCAGCCCTACTTTTCTTGTAGGTTGGGAGCACATGGGTTTGGGGTCAGGAGCTCCAGATGCCTAGACAGTGATCTCACCATACAGGATGAGTAGACAGGGCTGGCACTTCCTAAAGCCAGAACCTCGGTGTTCCAGCAGAGGGAGGGCACCACCAGCCGGAACACCACCACCATCTCCTTTCCTTAAAGTATTGCTTTCAAGGGGGCATGCTCGAAATAAGCTTTGAGAATTCAGGGGACACCCCAAACCTTCCTGGCTCTATTCTGACCCCCACATTTTACCAGGATCTCTGTGTGACTCAGGGCAGTTTCCTGACCTCACTGGACCTCACTTCCCTCATCTGTCCTATCTCCTGAACTCAGATTCAGACCCTGTCTACTGTGACCCCACCCAGGTCAATACTCAACTGTCTCATTTGTGAGATGGGATGTTGTCCAAATTTATATGGATTATAACAGAATAAAGGAAATAAGCAGCCAGGCATTCTGGAATACACCCGTCATCTCGGCCCTTGGGAAGCTGGGGCAGAATCATCAGGAGTTCAAGGCTAGCCTTGGCTACATAGCAAATTCCAGGCCAGTTAGGGTTACATATGTGACCTTGTCTCAAAACATGGAGCTTAGTTGGCAGAGCACTTGCTGGGAGCATGAATACCTGGGATGAATCTCTAGTACCCAATAAATTCCATGTGGTGGCACAGGCCTGAAATCTCAACACTGCCAATGTGAAGACAAGAGAATCAGAAATTCAAGGTCACTCTCAGCAATGCAGTGAGTTCAAGGTCAACCTGGTCCACTGAGACCCTGTGTCAATAAATGAAATAAAATATAAAAGCTGACCTCACCCTGTGTTGAGTGATGTTCATGGTCAGGACACTTGATGGCTATTTCCCAGGAGCATGATTGGCCTCCTGGGAAGCCAGCCCGAGGCCCACTCAGAAGGGGGACCCTAAGTCCCCAGCTTCCCCTCACCTTGGCCACTCCTTCCCATGGGTCTGTCTTGTCCCAGCATGCTCAGCATGGAGCTATTCCAACCTGCAAACTGAAAATTAAGAATAAAGATAACCAGGAATGCAGGTTTGCAGGCCTCCAGGCTACCTCCCCTGCTGGGTAACCTCAGGCAACTGGCTCTTCTAAGTCTTAGTTTCCTAATCTGAGAAATGGAAGGTGGTAACTGTCATTGTGGCTAGGCTTTGAGGGTTTCATTCTTTTCTTTCCCCTCCCCCCACTTCTTCTCCTCCTTCTGTTACTGAGGATGGAACCCTGGGCCTAGCAAGCCAAGCCAGCACTCTATCACAGAGCTGCACAGCAGCCAAGACAGTGCCTGCTATTCATGTTATTCCTCACTTTGTGTCTGTGTGTACATATTGTGCACCTGCCACAGTGTGTGTGTGGAAGTCCGATGACAGCTTGTAGGAGTCGGTTCTCTCCTTCTGAGCCTTCAGGCTCTGGGGGTCAAACTCAGCTGGTCAGGCTTGGTAGCAGGCACTTTTATCTGTTGAGCCATTTTGCCTGGCCCAAGGCAGTGGATTCTTTTTTTTCCTTTTTCTTTCTTTTTTTTTTGGGGGGGGGGTCTTTTGAGACAGGGTTTCTCTGTGCAGCTTTGAAGCCTGTCCTGGAACTTGCTCTGTAGACCAGCCTGGCCTTGAACTCACAGAGATCTGCCTGCCTCTGCCTCCTGAATGCTGGGATTAAAGGTGTGCGCCACCACCGCCCGGCCACAGTGGCTTCTTTTTTTTTTTTTTTTCCGAGACAGGGTTTCTCTGTGTAGCTTTGCGCCTTTCCTGGGACTCACTTGGTAGCCCAGGCTGGCCTCGAACTCACAGAGATCCGCCTGGCTCTGCCTCCCAAGTGCTGGGATTAAAGGCGTGCGCCACCACCGCCCGGCCACAGTGGCTTCTTAAGGCCAGCTAAGTCCAATAAAAATGCAGCATGAAGGACTGTAGAGATAGTTTAGCAGGTGAAGAGCCTGCTGTTGAGTGGGTTCAATGCCTCTTCTGACCCCCATGGATGCACAGATATCCATGCAGACAAAACACCCAAACACATAAAATAGAAATAAATAAAATTTCAAAAACCTTTTTTTTTACTAATATGAAAGGAGGGCTGGTGAAATGACCCAAGAGGCAGGGGGACTTCTGGAGCGAACCTGGAGGCCAGAAGAGATTGTGATATCCCCTGGAGCTGGAGTTCCAGGCAGTTGTGAACTGCTGTGTGGTGTTGGGAATTCAATGCGGATCCTCTGGAAGAGCAGTCAGTGCTCTTAACTGCCATCTCTCCCAGCTCCTCTTTCTTTTTGTTTGGTTTTGAAACAGGACCTCAATATGTAGCTCAGGCTGCAACAGGATCTCAATATATAGCTCAGGCTGCCCTCAAACTCACCATGCTTGTGTCCGAGCTATTTGAGTGCCAGGATGACAGGCATGTACCACCACACCTGGCTCTCTAGAAACGCTCTAATTTTTTTTTTATTTATTGTGGTGGTGGGGCACGCATGTGCCTCGGCATACATGTGCAGGTCAGAGGACAGCCTGCAGGAGTTGGTTCTCTTCCTCTATCATGTGGGTTCCAGGGAACTCCAGTCTTCAAGGTTGGTGGCCACCATCTTTACCCACTAAGACAGTGGTTCTCAACCTGTGGGTCCCAACCCCTCGGCAAGCCTCTGTCACCAGAATATGTACATATGATTTAAAACAGTAACAAAATTACAGTTATGAAGTAGCAACAAAAATAACTTTATGGCTGGGGTCACACAGCATGAGGATCTGTATTAAAGGGTCACAGCATTAGGAAGGCTGAGAACCACTGAGCTAGCCAGCTCGTCTTACCCCAAAAAGTCTTTTTAAAGAATATTTTTCAGGTTGGGTGGTGGCGCACGCCTTTAATCCCAGCACTCAGGAGGCAGAGGTAAGCAGATCTCTTGAGTTCGAGGCCAGCCTGGTCTACATAGTGAGTTACAGGTCAGCTAGGGCTATGTAGAGAGATCCTGTCTCAAAAACCTAATAAAGATTTCCTTGTTTGTGCTAGTTAGTTTTTTTATATATTATTTCATTTATTTGTCAGTTTGACAAAAGCTAGAGTCACCTGGGAAATAGGAACTTCAACTGAGAAAATTCCTCCATCACATTGGCTTATACGCAAGTCTGTGGGGCATTTCTCGACTAATGATTGATGGGGGAGGGCCCAGCCCACTGTGGGTAGAGCTAGCCCTGGGCAGGTTGCCATGGGTTACGTAAGAAAACAGTCTGGGAAGCCATGGGGAAGAGAGTGGGGAACAGAGTAGGGAACAGCATTCTTCTATGGTTCCTGCTTCAGTTCCTGCCTCCAGGCTCCTGCTTTGAGCTTCTGCCCTGGTTTAATGGCTGTGATCAGGACATGTAAACCAAATAAGCCCTCTCCATCCCAAGCTGCTTTTGGTCGTGGTTTTTATCAACACTATAGAAACCTAGAACAAACTGGGTGACGTGGTGAATACCTTTAATCCCAGCACTCAGGAGGCAGAGGCAGGTGGATCTCTCTGAGTTTCAGAGTGAGTTCCAGGACTGCCAGGGCTACACAGAGAAACCCTGTCTGGGGGGTTGGGAGAGAGAAAAGAAAAAGAAAGCAAGCTAGGGCATTACTGCTGCTGCTGCTGCTGCTGCTGTTCTTGAGACAGGGTCCCTCTGAGGATGTGAGGACTCCTGGAGCTGAAGTCAGGGCAGTGTGAGCCGCTCTTGGTTCTGGAAATGGAACCCAAGTCCCTGGAAGATTAGCCAGTGCTCTTAAACCCTGAGCCATCTCTCCAGTTCCTCCAGTGTGTTCTTTACCCGTGCAGCACGGCCCCACTTGAACCAGCCCTGTCTGATGCCGTGGTAGGGAGGGGCAGGTCCAGAAGGGAACAGTGGACCAGTGCCAGAGAGTGCAGGCGTGAGGCCTGGAGGAGAGAAAGAGTTCCTAGCCGGCTTCTGGGGACCAGCTTGGGTTCCTCCTGCTTTAAGGATCATGTCAACTAAGTGGAATCACAGCATAAACTGGGTCAGCAGGTCCTAGATGGAGGTCTGCTGTATGCTGGGCGCTGTTCCATGTGCTGACCTGTCTCTGCAGGGCTTATTGCTCCATGGAGCTCAGAGCCCAGAGAGACATTTAACAACCCCCTCACCCTGGCATAAACCTGGCATCCCAGCGTTCTGGAGGATGAGGCAGGAGGATCTCCAATCAGGATACTAATCCCGGATACATAATGGGACCTTGCTGAGAGACTGAATAAATGATGTTGGAGAGGCCACGAGGGTAGGAAAACGCAGGATTCTCTTATGTCATGGGGATGGGCGCGAAGGTGCCAAAGACGGTGACTGACTTCCCGGCTACGGATAAGTTGAGTCAGGAAAAAACAAACAAAAAACGATTTGAGGTGGGGTTTTGACATACATTGCTTCGAACTTAACAAAACTGCCATTCTCGAGGTCGCAATGGGTAATTTCAGTTCACGTATGTGGAAAGTGTGTCTTAGTTCTCAGCTCCAGAGGAGCCTTTAAAGCGAAGAGCCCACAAGCGCGGCCCCAGTCGGCTCCTACAGCTCGCACACTGTACCGGTCGTCCAGAGAGGTTGCGTGAGCTTCTGGGGTCACACAGCCCAGAGAGTCGGCCCCGGCCCCCAGGCGCCCGGAAGCGACCCTCCGTAAACAAAGCCGTGTGTAGGCGCAGCCCCAGCCTCCAGGCTCGTAGGCCGGCCCATGGGGGCGGGGGAGGAATGTTGTGAATGAACGTGAGGCCGCCCCGAAACTCCTCACAAGGCCGAGCCGCGGGGTCCCCTCGCTTTGATTGGCTCATACCGCTCCGTGATGGACAGCGCCTCTCCCTGCGGCCTTTTATTGGATGGCATCGAAAAGACTGACGTGACGAGTACCGAGTGAACGGTGGCTTCTAGGAGGCGGGTCTGCAAAGACAGCCAATGGTGAGGGAGAGGTAGGGCGGCGGGGGCGGGGCTTCGGCTGAGGAGGCAGCGGCCGCGGAGACGGCTTCATTGTTGTGAAGAGTCTTAAAGGGGCCGCGTCGCCCGGCCGGCCCGGCCGGATGGAGCCCCCGGCGGCCAAGCGCAGCCGGGGCTGCCCCGCGGGGGACGAGCCTGGGACCGGGGCCCGTCGAGGCCGCCCGGAGCCGCTGCTGGACCTCAGCGCCAAGCGGGTGGCCGAGAGTTGGGCCTTCGAGCAGGTGAGGCCCCGGCCTGCCCCAGGCCTCACACCTCGCCCCCTCCCCAGCGGCAGCCGCACCCCCCGGGGCCCGCGGCCCGCGCCTCCGCCCGCGACCCACCCGGTCCCCATGCAGGCCGCTTCTCTCCCCGGGAGGGACACCCGCCCCGAGACCCACACTGCTCCATCCTGCCCGCCGTTCCCCTGTCCCGCCCTCCGGGGAGAAGACCCCAGCCTCGCAGGGCCCACACAGACGCCCCTGGACCCCCGTGCTCCAGCCTGCAGAGCCCTCCTGCCCTCTCCAGGCACCCCGCCTGTGGGACCAGAGGCAGGCTCACTGAGGGAAGGGCTCTGGGTCCCTCCTCGCCCGTCCTCTCCCTCCCCCTCTCTCCAGCCATCCCGGAGCCACGAGTGGGGTAGCTGGTGGGCAGGGGCACCTGGAACCCCTACTCCGTGGCTGGTGGGTGGAACCCCGAAAGTCCCCTCTCCCTGTCTTAGTGTCCCCGAGGGGATGGGAAGGTGCAGGGGCTCCTCTCAGTCCCAAACAGGCGTCTTCTAGCCTGACTTGGAGGGTGTTGTGAGCTCGGCAGCCTCTTCCTGAGCTAGGGTGGGTGGGTTTCGGCTGACTGTGGATTGAACAGGCTGATTCATGACCGGGAAATCCCTCCTTAGTCATCTGCCAACTGTCAGGAGCCGAGACACTGACTCCCCCTTCTAGAAACCTGGGTAGGGCTTCTGTGCTGTCCACCCTGTGTGACATGCCCAGAATAACCTTAAAACCATCTTCAGGGCTCCCACAGCTCTGCCTTGACTCAGCCAGGTGCTAAGAGAACTCGGGAAAGCTTCTGGAACCCTTTGGGAGTTGCTCTCACTTTGAGGAAACTGGGGCACAGAGAGGTTGAGAAACTTGTCCAAGGTCACGCAGCCAGTGACTAGCCAGCTCAGATTGGAACACAGCCTCAAACAGCTGTTCTGTTCCTTGGAGCCCACAGGGGACAGCAGAACAGGGAAGGGGCAGGGAAAGAAAACCCAGGGTGGAGCTGGTCTTGGGAGTTGGAGCTCCTTGGCTTAGAGATCCTGAAGAGATGAGTTTGTCCCATCTCCGAGCCTCGGGTTCTGAGGCAATGGCACTGACTCAGTGCTGTGGTTTCAGCATCCTGTGTCCCTGTGAGGACAAGAAGCCATCTCCATAAGGAGCTAAACAGAGGGAAAGCTACGACCTCAGGCCCTTGATTATTCTTACACTTGTATCTAACTTCTTGCCCCACAATGCCCACAATGCCCAAGCTATAGAAGGGTTTTACCTCAGACCCCTGGGAAACTGGCTGTAAAAACTTCTAGAATGCTAAGTATGAGCCAGGCACTATTGTAAGTAAATACTATTGTATTGAAAGCTGTTTTGTTGCTGGGAATTTTACTGTGTTACCCAAGCTGGCCTTGAACTACTTGACTCAAGTGCAGCCTCCCAAGTAGTTGGGATTTCAAGGTGCACCACCATTCTGGGCTCACTGGTATACATTTTATCTTCCCAATCTGCATAGGATGGTTGGTTCTCACATTCCTACTTTAAATTTTGGAAATCTCAGATTCAGAGAGGTCAGGTGGCTTGTAAACACACAGCCAGGGTTCTATCCCAGGTTCCTAACCCACCAGCTCTTCCCACAGGTGGAGGAGCGGTTCTCCCGGGTGCCAGAGCCAGTTCAGAAGCGCATCGTGTTCTGGTCTTTTCCACGAAGTGAGCGAGAGATCTGTATGTACTCATCACTAGGCTACCAGCCCCCAGAAGGCGAGCAGGATACCCGGGTGCCATTCACCCGTGGGCTGCACCTGCTGCAGAGTGGGGCTGTGGATCGAGTGCTACAAGTGGGTGAGTGAGGAGGTCCTGGGAGGAGGGAGGGTGGACCAGGGGCTGGGGAGTTCCCAAGCCACCTGCTCTGAGGCCCAGATGTGGCATTGTCCAGGCACAGCACTGGGGAGACAGAGGCAGGTGATGGAGAGGTCAACCTAAGTAAGCTACACAGTAAGAGCCTGTTTCAGTAGGGGGACGTGTACTAAAGCTAAGTATATAGTTGATGTCATTGATCACGACTTCGGGACACTCAGAGAGAGGAAGGTGAACTAGAAAGCGAGGGCAGAGAAGGACCAGGCATTGGCAGGAGGACCCAGGTAAGGGAAGAGACGGGTGGAGTTGGTCTTGGATCTTGGAGTGGGGCCTGCTAAGAGGGATTGAGACATAGCGGCAATTCTAGGACCTGGGCTTCACGCTGGGCTTGAAGACAGGATTATGAGCTGAAGGTAGACCTCAGACTGCTGAGCTGAGGAATAGAAGAGTTGGGAAAACAAGGAGGAAGCAGGGTCCCAGGGAGGACCAGAGGGTCAGCCACAAGGAAGAGCCAGTTCCCAACCTCAGACAGAGGGTATCTGTGATGCATAGGTAAGAGGCCAAGAACAAATGATGCTAAGACTGGATATGGTGACACACACTTGTAACCCCAGTGCTCAGGAGGCTGGGACCAGAAGGGTTTAAGGTCATGACCAACCTAGATGAAACAGTGAAACTCTGCTTCAAAAACCAAAACAGTTCCAGTGTGGTGGCACATACCTAAGACAGAAATAGATGGATCTCTGTGATTTCCAGGCCAGCTTCATAGTAAGACCCTGTCTCAGTATTAAACAGAATGATCATAGGCCTCAGCACTGGACCCAGGTAGAAGCCAGTCATACAAATTTGGGGACAAAGACTTTGAGGCTTAGGCAGCCATGTCCTGGGAGAGTTCGTGATCAAAGATTTGCAGCCATGTGTAGAACAGTAGAGTGATTATAGTTGACAAAAATTTATTGTGTATTTTATAAAGAACTAAAAGGAAGAAGTTGGAAGCTTCCAAACACAGAGAAATAATCACTGTTCAAGGAGCAGGAAAAGCCAGTTACCCTGATCTGATCACCTATTGAGTTACCACATCATATACTACAAATGTGTACAACTATTATGTGATGGAGAAAATGACAAATTAAAAAAAAAAAACACACATACACACCAACTGAACAACAAAATAACCAAGGCTAAGGCCATGAGGGGTGGGCTCAGACCTCAGGCAGTGGGCCCAGGTGTTTCTTAAGTAGAAGGAAAGAAAAGGAGCCAAGAAGGCCAGGTTTCAGGAAACAGGGAGGAAGATGAGGAAAAAAGGCCTTAGACCCTAATGAGTAAGACTTTATTCTTGGCTTTCCATGATAGCTGGTCATGGCTAAGCCATGGTAACCCTGCCTCACAGCCTTGGTACCCCCTTTGCCCGGGCATAACCTAGCCACAGGCCCCATGGCTACCCCTGGTATGAGGAAGCCATGCCTTGCATGACGCAGGTTGCATCAGGCTGCCCAACCAGTCGGATGAGCCTGATAGACACTCAGGACTGCCCAGGACTTGCTCCATCATCCCATTGCCCTCAAGTGCCACAGGCCTTTGGCATCTTCTCAGGAAGTTCAGAGCTTCTAAAGCTCAGTTGTAACCATAGCAACCCAAGGGTTTTCAACCCAAAGCATTTCAAACATTGTGTCTACACTAATAATACTATTTAGTGATTATTAGAATAAGGACAAAGGAGCAGAGGAGAGGGCTCATTTGGTCAAATGCCTGCTGTTCAAGCATGAGAACCTAAGTTCAGGTGTTCAGCGTCTGTGTAGAAGCCAGGCATGGTGTTGCATGCCTGTAACCCCAACACTAAGAAGACAGAGACAAGAGGATCTACAGGGGTAGCCTAGTCAAAGGGGCTAGCTTCATGTTCAAGGAGAGAACCTGTCTCAAAAATAAGGTAGAAAGCCAGCATGGTGGTGCACACCTTTAATCCCAGCACTCAGGAGGCAGAGGCAGGCACATCTCTGTGAGTTTGAGGCCAGCCTGGGCTACAGAGCGAGTTCCAGGACAAACAGAGCTATATAGACAAACTTTGTCTCAAAAAACCAAAGATAAATAAACAAGGCCAAGAACAATTGAGGCACCCCACCAAAAAAAAAAAATAAGGGTTTGCTTGAGACTTAACTTTATGTCAAGCCATTCTAAATGCTTATCATGGGTAACTCATTCATTTATTAAAACTACATACGGAGATCATTGTTGCAGCATATGGACAGATGATGAAACTGAGGCATAGATGGGTTTTCTCAGTGGGGCTGTGCATCCAGGTCTTGGGGTGATCCAGTCTCCACAGTGTATGTTTTGTCTTAGGGTTCCACCTTAGTGGGAACATCCGAGAATTGGGGGCCCCAGGAGAGCCAGAGCACCTTTACCACGTCTCCATCAGCTTTGACCGCTGCAAGATCACCTCTGTGAGCTGTGGCTGCGACAACCGAGACCTCTTCTACTGCGCCCACGTGGTGGCCCTGTCACTATACCGCATCCGTCATGCGCACCAGGTGGAGCTGCGGCTACCCATCTCTGAGACTCTGTCACAGATGAACCGTGATCAGCTTCAGAAGTTTGTACAGTATCTCATCAGTGCACACCACACTGAGGTGCTACCCACTGCCCAGCGCCTTGCTGATGAGATCCTCCTGCTGGGCTCTGAGATCAACCTGGTCCATGGTGAGTGGAGGGAAGGAGGGGCCGTGATGCAGAGGCCTGCAGAGTGGGAACCATTATGCCCTGCTTTGGAGGATGTCACACACCTAGAGAGAGGCCCATCCTTAGGTGTCTGACCCTGAACAGTTAGAAATAGGGCAGGTGTGGTGGCACAGGCCTGTCATCAGGACTGGGGAGGCTGAGGTGGATTGAAACGTAGTGACACCCTGTCTCATGTTGAGGGAGAGAGAGAAGTCAGGCAGTGGGCAAGAGCAGGAGGGTTCAATCTTAGTGTGAACAATCTTAGTGTTCAACCTTAGTCCCACAGGATGGGGTGTCTCAGAATTCCAGGGTAAAGGCTGAAAGGTGGGTGTCATGGTGAAGTATGGATGTACCCAGGAGGTGTTGTGGGGAGGGTCTGCTGCTGGTTTGCTTGACTGTAGTGGTAGGAAGATAGCGGGTATGAGTGGTGGATGGGAGCGACAGTGGGTCATGGGGTGCTGAGTGGGTTCCAGGAGATTATGATTCATCACCAGGGAAAACTGATACCGTGAAAGAATATAGGGGATGAGCAGATAGCTGAGTACAGTGGCTGGTGAGTGGTGCTGATCGCTAGAAGGGAAGATGAGCAACTGGATAGAGAGGGGTTTGATGGGACCCTTTGAAAGACCAGTGGGTAGCCAGAGCTACAGAATGGTACCCTGTCTTGAAAAAATGAAAAGAAGCCAGGTAGTGGTGGCACACGCCTTTAATCCCAGCACTCGAGAGGCAGAGGCGGTGGATCTCTGTGAGCTCAAGGCCAGCCTGGTCTACAGAGTGAGTTCTAGGACAGCTTGGGCTACACAGAGAAACCCTGTCTTGAAAAAAAAAGCGGGGGGAGGAAGAAAGGCAGGCCAGTAGGTGTATACACTAGGGGCTGATGGGTAGGTGTTGTGGGGTTTGAGTGAAGCATATTTGTGAACTGGAGTAGTTCAGTGGGTAGACAACATGGCTGATTGATGGATAAATGGGAAGATGGGTATTCTGAGTGGTCAGACAAGTAGGAGGGTGGGCAGGTGAGGTCATAGTATTAGTACACACACTGTAGGTGGGTTGGATACAGGACTAGTGAGCTAGGATGTGGGTATGGAGGAACTGGTATGGAGGGGAAGAGATAGAAACTGGCTTAATATGGATGGGCGGTGTTCCAGGTGAGATGATGGATGAGGAAATGGATAAATGGCTGGTGTTTTGTGAAGATGACTAAATGAATGGATACATACAGTGTTCCATAGACTGAGTACCTGACTAAGTAAATGGAGGGGCTGGTAGTGTTTGGGACAAATGGGTGGATAGACAGATGGATGAACCAATGGACAGATTTATTTTTGGTTTTTTGAGACAAAGTTTCACTGCGTTGCAGCCCTGGCTGTCATGGAACTCGCTCTGTAGGCCAGGCTGGCCTTGAACAGAGATCCACCTGCCTCTTCCTCCCGAGTGCCAGGACTAAAGGCATGTGCCACCACCGCCTGGCTAAGATGTATTCATGGACAGATGAGTGAATGAATGAGTGAGTGAGATGAGTGAATGAATGAGTGAGTGGAGCGACAGCTAGACTGGTGGTGAGTTAACAGGTGGATTGTTGGTGTGACTGGACAGATGCACTGGTGGGTGTTGCTTCTGGTGGACAGAGCAGTGATTTTGGAGGAATGGACAGAGGGAGGATTGGCACCCTCTCTCCCATTCTACACTTGTCTGTTCACCCCAGGTGCTCCAGATCCCACGGCGGGTGCAGGCACAGAAGATGCCAACTGCTGGCATCTAGATGAGGAGCAGATCCAGGAGCAGGTGAAGCAGCTGCTTTCCAATGGTGGCCACTATGGGGCCAGCCAGCAGCTGCGCTCCATGTTCAGCAAGGTGCCAAGGCTGGAGGTGGGCAGGGCAGAGGTCCTGGTGTGCCATCCCTTTCTTACCACCTGCTTCTCCACACAGGTGCGGGAGATGCTGCGGGCACGAGACTCTAATGGGGCACGCATGCTAATCCTCATGACCGAGCAGTTCCTGCAGGACCCTCGTCTGGCCCTGTGGCGGCAACAGGGCGCTGGCATGACAGACCAGTGCCGGCAGCTGTGGGATGAGCTAGGTGAGACGTGGGTCCTGGGGGGCTCACAGCCTGGCCCTCACTCACATTAGCGTCTGCGCCCCAATCTTCCCTCCACTTAACATGCTAAGCACCTCCAACATGCTGACCACCCCACTGGGTGCTGGAGCTCCCAGACAGAATAAGACACAAAATCTGGCTCTCCGGGTGGCGGTGGCGCACGCCTTTAATCCCAGCACTCGGGAGACAGAGCCAGGCGGATCTCTGTGAGTTCGAGGCCAGCCTGGTCAACAGAGCGAGATCCAGGACAGGCACTAAAACTACACAGAGAAACCCTGTCTTGAAAAACCAATAATAATAATAATAATAATAATAATAATAATAATAATACAAAATCTGGCTCTCCCGGACTACTATTCAGTGGGAAGACCCATGATTACTACTACATGGTTAGAGCTGGGGATATAACCCAGTGGCAGCAGGCTTGTCTAGCAGGCATGAGACCTTGAGTTCCGTCTCCAGCAAGTGTGGATAGATACATACATGGATGGGTGGCTAGATGGGAGGATGTATGCATGCATGGATGTTTTAAGTGCTGTACAGTTTTGTCCCTTGATGTCCTTGGAAGATTGGTTCCAAATCCTTTAAGACACAGACATCTGGGATGCTCAAGACCCTTATAAAAGCATACAATGTCTATAGGGAATCTATGCATATCCTTTCTGTACAGTTTTGTTTTGGTTTTGATAAAGGGTCTGAGTGTAACCCAGGCTGACCTCAAGCTCACAGTGTTGCCAGGGATGACCCTGAGTTCCTGGTCTTTCCTCCTCCACTTCCCAGGTGCTTGGGGGCTCGTTGGTCACCACTACAGCTGTGCCCTGTGTCAGATGATGAAAGGGAATGTGGAAAGTGGGGAAGAAACAACACTAAGACTCACAAGGCACCAAACCCAGGGTTTGTGACCTGGGACGAGTGGAGTTTCTTTGCCGTATTTCAGTTTCTCTCTCTCTTTTTAAAGTCACATTTGTTTATTCTGTGTCTGTATGTGTGGGCATACTACAGTGCACATGTGGAGGTCAAAGGACAACTTTGTTGGGTTAGTTTTCTCCTTCCATATGTGGGTCCAAGGGACTGAACTCAGATCATTAGTCTTGGTTACAAGCACTTTTCCCCACTGGAGCCTCTCACTGGCCCTATTTTATTTCCTTACCATATGTGAGGAGACACTGAACTGCAACCCATGTTCAGGGTAGAACATGTGCCTAGGCTGCAGCAGTTGCTTGTTAGCCTGGGTTACGTTAGTGATGCTGAGCTGGATACTGAGCCTCTCTCTCTGCTCTTCAGGGGCTTTGTGGGTCTGTGTCATTCTGAGCCCCCACTGCAAACCAGACGAGCGGTCAGGCTGGCTGCAGCTGCTTGGCACATGGGACAAGCTAGATGTGTGCCCACTGGAAGAGGGCAACTACTCCTTCGACATCCCTGCCCTACAGCCTACTGTGACCTCCAGGACAGGTAGGAGAGGGGCTGGCCCTACCACCTATTTCCAACGGAACCATCACCACTCACTACAGCTCAACCTTCTGTCACAGTACTGTGTCCCAGGAGAGAGAAGATAGGAGAGATGAAGGGGGCCCCATTGGTTGTCCTTCCAGCCAAAGAGAGCAAGTGCCAAGGGCAAAAGTAATGACATCCTTAAGCGTAGTGAGACACGGTCCTTGCTGGGCCTCCAGCGAGCAGAAGTGAGACAACGGGTAAGGGAAGGGCAGGAACCCAGCGTGGGGGGTGGGAGGGCAGGACACAGTGATGTGGGTGTGGGCGAGACAAATGAAGAGGGAGATGGAAGAAAAAAGAGAGATTAGAAAGAGGCAGAGAGGGGCTGGAGAGATGGCTCAGCAGTTAAGAGCACTGACTGCTCTTCCAGAGGACCTGGGTTCAAGTCCCAGCACCCACATGGTGGCTCACAGCTGTCTGTAACTCCAGGATCTGATACCCTCACACAGTCTATATACATGCAGCAAAACACCAAAAAAAAAAAAAAAAAAAAAAAGGCAGAGAGAGCGAGGGAACAAGAATGGCTGCTGGCAGGGAGGACAGAGACGTCCTCACCTGTGTGCCAGTGCTGTGACAGATGCCAGCCCCACTTTCCAGAATTCACATCCATCACCTGCCTAGGGTAGATCCCTGAGTGGGTACCTGGTGGGAGAAGCTGGCTACAGTTTGTCCGCCAGCACCACCATTACTACGTTGGGCACCCTCCTGCAGGCTCAGAGGATGAAGAGGAGGAGGTGACAACCACCAGTCTCCGACGTACAGTGTTCAGCCGAGCATTGCAGGCTGGGGAGTTGCACTGGAATGACAGCCACCTGCAGAGGATCCTGGCCAGTGATTCCTGTGGCCCGAGTCTCACTGGCAATATGGGAGGTGACAAGCCAACCTTTGACCCTCAGGGCCACCCCATCTGGCTGGGTGAGCCTTTGCCTACTGCCTGTGCACGGGTGGATACTTTGCGTGCCCATGGTTATCCCCACAAGGCTCTGCGGCTAGCATGTGCCATAATCAACACTCTGCGGCTGCAGCGGCGACACCAGCTTGAGAACTACAAGCAGCAGAAGAAAGGTGAGTGAGGCCGCAGGCTCCAGGACCCAGTGCCCCAGGAGAGATAGCACAGAGGGTCTGGGTACCACCCAGCTCCCACTCAGTGTCACGGACAGAAAGGATTTTGTCACAAGAAGCACTGTTGGTTGAAACTGAAGCACTATGTGGTTGGAGAATTCAAGGAGTCTGGTGCAGTTACGTGGTAAAAGCCTCTTAAGGCCTGAGGCCTTGGGTCTCAGTCCTAGCAACAGAAGAAAAAGAACAGAAAAGAGTAAGAATTGGGTCAGGGGCTGGAGAGATGGCTCAGAGGTTAAGAGCACTGCTTGCTCTACCAAAGGTTCTGAGTTCAATTCCCAGCAACCACATGGTGGCTCACAACCATCTATAATGAGATCTGGTGCCCTCTTCTGGCCTGCAGTCAAACATGCCGTATACATAATAAATAAATAAATCTTTAAAAACGAAACAAGAAAAAAAGAAAAAAAATAATAATTGGGTCAGACTGCTAATAGATACTACAGCTCTTGGGCCAGTTCCCAAGAAGACTCTACAGCTTGCCACCAGAACCTCATCTTGCACCTTGCCTTGGCCACCCCTGTTCACAGGGCAACTGCCACAGAATAATGACAGCATTCTTGTTGGTCATCCGCTTTTCATGCAAGGGAGGCTGGGAAATGTAGAAGCTTCCAGATCCTGCACTAGGCAGGTTCCCACTACATGACCCTCAAGGATGTGCTTTTATGGTGGAAAGAGAGAAGCAGAAGACTGAACTATTTGATGTACAATTTGCTCACTTTTAAACATGGGCAACAAATTGAGTTGTGTTTCAAATATAACAAACATTTGAAACACAGCAGAAGGGCTTGTGGGTATGGCACCGAATCTGGTTTGGTAGATTGCTCACCTTAGCACTTTATAAGTCAGGTATGGTGGCCCATGCCTCTAACCCTAGCACTTAGGAAGTGGCAACAGGAGAGTCAGAACTTCAAGGTCAGAGGTCAAGGCCAACCTAGACCACGTGAGAACCTGTCTCAAAAAAAAAAAAATGCTGAGCGGTGGTGGCGCATGCCTTTAATCCCAGCACTCGGGAGGCAGAGCCAGGCGGATCTCTGTGAGTTCCAGGCCAGCCTGGTCTGCAGAGGGAGATCCAGGACAGGCCCCAGAGCTACACAGAGAAACCCTGTCTCTAAAAAACAAAAACAAAATAATAATGATGATGATGATAATAATAATAATAATAGTAAAGTAAAAAAGCAGAGCCAGGAAACGGCTCAGTAGGTAAAGTGCTGGCTGTGCAAGTGTGAGAATCTGAGGGTCTGAGTCTGTGTGCCCTGCTGCCCACATAAAATAAAAGCGGGCATGTCGCTCTCCCCCAGGCCTGGGAGTTGAAGACAGGCAGGTGGTAGGGCCTTGCTGGCAGCCGTTCTAGCTGAGAAGGCAGGCTCCAGGACTAAAGGCTCACCAAAGAGCTTGTGTAAGATAGAGGTGGCTGGAGAAGACTCCCAACCCGGAACTTTATCCTCAGTGTATGCACGGGGCGTGCATACGCACGTGCACATGCATACACCACGAACACACAAGCACCCTGAACAAAAGGGAAGGTCCTGTGACTAAATCTGGGGACAGAGGAGGCCACTGGCTGAGTTCTTGGCAGTGAAGCTGATAAAGTCAGAGTGTAAGGGAGGAATGGGCTCTGGAATGGAGGAGTCAGAGCTATCTCCAGGTGACTTGGGAATGGCACAGGCAGAGCTCAGCGGCCAGGGTTCGTTGTTCTGAGATCAGGGGAGGTCGGTGGATGAGCGGCCTTCCGAGGATTCAGGAGTTATCATAGGAGAACTTTCATATTGCCCCTTGAGGGGCCTCAGAGCAGTTTGAGCTTGGCCGCAGAGATGGGGAAAGGGTTAGAGCTAGGAGAGTGCTGCCTTGCATGTTTCAGGAAGATGGGGAGGCTCACAGGCTGGCAGATGGCACTGGGAGACTGGTGTGGAGTGGGGAGAAAGCCCCCAGAGCTTGAGTGGGTGGCTGCATAGAGCCCACCTCTTCCCATCTACAGAACTGCTCCAGAAAGGTGCTACCTGCCTCACAAGCACTGAAGGCTGGGTGGGCCATCCCCTGGATCCCATTGGCTGCCTCTGCAGGGCCCTGCTGGAGGCCTGTCGACTGGAGGAGGAGCCTCACTCTCTTTACCCAGGTACCCACCCTGAGGACCCCTGCAGGAGGACCAGCACCCACTCTGTTGGCCAGATATTGTCACATAGCGAACTTAGTAGTTTTGAGTGTGCACCCTGCCAGGACCAGGAGCCAGTAGGCTCAGCCTTCTCAAAATGAGGGCGCCATTGGCCAGGGCTAAGAGTTGGGACTGTCCCTAAACCTCTCCACTTCTGTCACCAAGCTTGGGGCCTAGGGGTGGGGGCGGATCTAGACTTCAGCGGCCTTGGGTGTGTCTCTCCCAGACTTGGCCACAGAGAAGCGGAAGCTGGCCTACCAGCATGTGCCAGTGCCAGGGAGCCCTGGGGAGTCCTACCTGGCACTGGCGCTGGAAGTTGCACTGCTGGGGCTAGGGCAGCAGCGGGCCCTGCCGGAGGGGCTGTATGCCCAGGACAAAGTGGTACGCAGTGAAGAGCAGCTGCTGGCTCTGCTGGAGGAGGTGGAGCTGGACGAGCGGCTGGTCCAAGTGCTGCGCAAGCAGGCTGGGCTGCTGTTGGAAGGTGAGTCCGCTCTCGGTCAGCCCTCATAGCCCTATAGGATCATGGTCCCAAGAATAAGCCTCCTCTTTGATGCTATGACCTGTCAACCCACCACATTGTAAGCCCCGCCCCATATTCTAGCCCCACCCATGGTTTGACCCTATTGGCTCCTTGCTGAGTCTCCCCCCCCCCCCATTGCTGTGGCTGGGGCTGGCATTCCTCCTCATCCTGTAACCTCATTCTCCTTCACCATGCACTATTGCCTAGAGACCCCTCTCTTCTTCTGCTCCTCCATATGTATCTGGAGCTCAGGGATAGTGGAGACTGAGGTCACCCTGTCCCTGTAGGAGGCCCTTTCAGTGGCTTCGGAGAAGTGATTTTCCGGGAGAGCGTACCCATGCACACCTGTGCCCGATACTTGTTCGCTGCGCTGCTGCCCCACGACCCAGATCTGGCCTTTCGCCTGGCGCTCCGAGCCATGAGGTAAGGGCAGGAGAAGGGAGTGAGGAGCTAGGAGCCCCACCTCCAAGATGGGTCTCATAGTCTGGTTAATGAGGCCCACGGCCCATACAACAGAGTGTGTTTCTCTGTTAAATGGAAATGTATAATACGGTGAACTTGAGAATGATTCACAGCTACAGACCACAAGCGTGCTCGAAGTGTCGGCTTTTTCTAGGAGGATTTGTCTCAGCCTACCTGAGGCTCAGTGGAGACTTGGATAGCAGGTTCCCTGCACTAGGGGCATGACTCAGCAGTACCCTGCTGGCCTGGGTGTTCTAAGGTTGAGACCGGTACCCAGCATTGCACATATGAATGTATGTTTTTTCTGCAGTTAATATTTCTGTCATGTTTAAAATATATATAGGCTAGTGGCAACATCAAGTCATTCAACAAATGCCTGTGCCCTAACTGGACCAAATAGAGCTTGTAAATGCAGCACAGTCAAAACGGGCCTGACGTGCCGGAAGGCCTCGGTGCACTCCGCCGTATGCAGATGGGCTCCAGAAGATGGAGGAGACACCAGGAGGCGGGAGGACTTGGACATGAAGCTGCAGCTTCACATAAGGGATTTCAAGGGAACTGGCCGAAAAATGCTTAAGGCAGTGGAGGGGAGCAGAAGGGCTGAGTGGGAGGGGTGTTCCAGGCAGAGGCCTCGGCTGCCCAGCAGAACCTCTCATCGTTCCCTGTGGGCACACCCGCTCCCAGAGCATCTGCAGGAGTGATGTCTTCACTTTCCCTCTATGATAGCTCATACAAAGGAAACGTACCTTCTGAGCTCCCAGTGGACTGGTTGGAGCCAGCGAGAGGAGGGAATGGTGAAGGGATGATACAGGGGGATATCTGCATACACATAGCTCCTCCCTGTCACAAACTGATGGATTCCCAGGGCATCTAAACAATCTCTGGTTCTCTGGTGAGGTTTGTTTTTGTTTTGAAGCAGTCATGTAGCCTAGGCTGGCCTCAAACTCTCAAGGCTGACCTTGAACTCCTGGTTCTTCTCCCTCCCCCTGGGATTATAGACATGCACTACCACCCTTGGCTAAATGCATTCTTTTGTTTGGTTGATTTTGTTTTTGTTTTTTTGAGACAAGGTTTCTCTGTGTACCCCTGACTGTCCTGGAACTCATTTTGTAGATCAGGCTGGCCTCAAATTCAAAGAGATCTACCTGCCTCTGTCTCCCAAGTGCTGGGACTAAAGGTGTGCACCACCACACTCGTCTTAAATGCATTTTCTTAATAGCCAGGTGTGATGACACAGGCCTGTAATCCCAGCACATTGAGTCTGAGTTGGGATCTCAAGTTCTAAACCAGGTTGGACTACATAACAAGACTGGAACTCAAAACCTAGATAGTTGACACATGGTGAGAGAGAAGGGATGGTAGTGGGGAATGTGTGGGTAATTAGAGTTGGACAGATGATAAAGACATGTGTGTATTTTGTTATCTGTGATCCGTCTTTTCCCAGACACCCCCCACCCCCGCCCCACCGTAAGCTCTAGTAGAATTACTGTCCGTCCCTTCTAGAATGTCACCTGTTGTTTGTTTGGTTGCTTGCTTTTCTTTTCTCTCTCTTTCTCTCTTTGTGGGTGGGGTCTTTCTGTGTTGCCAAGGCTGGTCTAAGACTGTTTTGGGGTTTTTTTTGTTTTTTCTTTTTTTTTTTTTAATTGTTTTGTTTTTTGTTTTGTTTTTCGAGACAGGGTTTCTCTGTGTAGCTTTGCATCTTTCCTGGAACTTACTCTGTAGCCCAGGCTGGCCTCGAACTCACAGAGATCCGCCTGGCTCTGCCTCCCGAGTGCTGGGAGTAAAGACGTGCACCACTACTGCCCAGAAAGACTTTTTTTTTTTAAAGTACTTTCTTTTTTTAAGTAATTTATTTATTTTTATTTTGTGTGTTGGTGTCTTGCTGGCATGTATGTCTGTGTGAGGGTGTTGGATCCCCTGAAGCTGGAGTTGCAGACAGAGGTGAGCTGCCATGTGGGTGCTGGGAATTGAACCAGATCCTCTGGAAGAGCAGCCAGTGCTCTTAACTGCTGAGCCATCTCTCCAGCCCCTGGCCTGAGACTTTCAACCTTCTTGCCTTAGCATGCCAGGGCATGTGTGGGCCACCATGCCTGGCCTGTTCCCGGTAGCTCCTGTTCATGATGGAAGTGAACTGAATGTAATGCCATCCTGTTCAGACATGTGGCTGCAAGTGGTAGTATTGCATTCTTTTTTATGCCTGAATAGTATTCCTTGGTGTGCAGGTATTACGTTTTCTGTAGCCATTCAATGTGTTCACATGTGTTGACTATCATAATGTGGCCATTGCAAATTGTGGTGCAGTACACAACAAGCACCCTGTCTCTTTGACATACTGATTTACTGTGGACATGTGCCCAGCAGTGAGATTGCTGGGTTATATGGTAGTTCTGTTTTTAGTTTCCCAAGGAACTCTGCTTTCTGGCATGGTTGTACTAATTCACATGGCAACTGTGGATAAGCTTCTGTTTTCTGTGTGTTTTTAGAGTGGAGGACCAAATGCAGGGCCTTGTGCTTACTAGGTGACTGCTCTATACTGAGCTCAGACCCCAGCACCTCAACAAGTTTCCCTTTCCCCCCATCCTTGCCAGCATGAATAGCTAGCTTCTCTATGATAGGAGCCATTAAAATCCTAGGCATTTTTTGCTACATGCTGGGATGGAACCCAGGGCCTTTAGCAGACTCTACCAGCCGAGCCTTGGCACCCCCAGCACCTCACTGGGAGATTCTAGGTAGGGACAGAGGTAGAAGTGGCAACCCCAGCTCACCCTGTGCTTGCTTCTCCCCTGTCCCAGGCTGCCTGTGCTGGAGACAACATTCCCAGCTGGAGAAGCTCACCCTAACCCGCTGGACTCCATCATGAGCAACCGCTTTCCCCGTTGGTTCATCCTCGGCCACCTGGAGACCCGCCAGTGTGAACTGGCCTCCACCATGCTGACCGCTGCCAAGGGTGAGGGCAGGGACAGCCGTCCTTCTGGTGTCCTGGGTGCCCCTGACGCCCTCTCATTCTCGTCCTTCTTCCATTTCCTACCCACTCTTATCCTTCATTTATTTATTGTTTTTTGTTTTTAATTTTCTTTCTTTTTAGATTTCACTTTTTTGGGGGGTTGTTGAGACAGGGTTTCTCTGTGTAGTTTTGGTGCCTATCCTGGATCTTGCTCTGTAGACCAGGCTGGCCTGGACCTCACAGAGATCCGCCTGGCTCTGCCTCCCGGGTGCTGAGATTAAAGGCGTGTGCCACCACCGCCCAGCAGATTTCACTTATTTTTTATGTGTATGAATGTTTACCTGAATGTATGTCTATGCATTATGTGTGTGCTGTGCCCATGGAGGGCATCAGATCTCTTGGAACTAGAGTTACAGACAATTGTGAGCTGCCATGTGGGTACTAGGCATGGGTAGGAATCAAACTCTGGTCCTCTGCAAGAGCAGCCAGTCCTCTTAACCTCTGAGCCATCTCTCCAGCCCATTTTTGTGTTAAGCTGTGGTCTCAGAATGAATCCCAAGCTGGCCTGGAATGTGCTGTGTAGCTCACGGTGACCTTGAATTATGATCTTCCACCCTTAGCCTCATGTTCTACCATTCCTACTCTGCTTCTTTTACCAACTACTTTCCCCCTACTACTTGTACATCCTCTGTAAGGAACGAGCAGAATCTTTGCCCAGTGCTGGGAGGTGGCAGGCAACAAAGCTATCCCAAGTCCTGTTGCTCTGTGAGGATGTATAGTCAACTAGCCAGGCCCTAGAGCTCAGTTGTAGAGACCCTGCTTAGCATGTGTGAAGCCCTACTCTTCCCCAGCACCACAAAAATAAACAAATGAGCTGGGAGATGATGGCTCATTTGATAAAGCATTTGCCACACAAGCATGAGGGAGCACCTAAGTTCAGTCCCCAGATCCCATATAAAGATGGGCATAAGGCTAGGTACACCTGCCTTTATTCCCTGCACTTTGGAGGTAGATGCAGAGGCAGGCATAGTTCAGTGAGTTTGAGGCCGTCCTGTTCTACACAGTAAGTTCCAGGCTGGCCAGAGCTACATACTAAGCCCTGGTCTCTAAAGTAAAATAAAAAAGGCTAGGTGTGATGGCATACACTTGTCAACCCAGTACTGGGAAAGTGAAGACAGAGGATCCCCAGGGTCTGCCATCTGGCCAGCCTTGGCCTAATTGTGAGCTCTATCCCAGTGAGAAATCCTGTCTCAAAAAAATGTTGAGGGAAGAAGGCTGGAGAGGTGTCTCAGTGGTTAAGAGCACTGTGTGCTCCTGCAGAGGACCAGAGTTCAATTCCCGCCAACTATGTATTGACTCAAAACCATCTGTAACTCCAGTTCCAGGGGACCCAACGCATTCTTCTGGCCTCTGCAGGCACCAGACAAAACACCCATACACATAGAATAATAATAATAATAGATATTTTTAAAATGGTGGACAGTGCCTGAGGAATGACACTCAAGCTTGACCTCTGGCCTCTACGTATACATGTGTCCACACTCAACCACACAAAACTGGCAGACAGTCAACAAAGAGATCACTGTACACAAAGAGGTACTGGTGTCACATAGTTCACTAAAGCAGGCAGCCTTGTCTTTTTCCTGTGGTGCTTGAGGTGGGATCCAGACCTTGTACAAGGTAGGCCAGTACTCTGCCACTGAACCACGCTCCTAGCTCACCTGCTGGACACTTAAACACAGACCCATATGAGAGCAGAGCTATGCTTGGGCTGCAGTAACACCATAGCACAAGCTGGGCAGCTTGAGTGTAATTCTCGTCGATGAGGAGGCCACAGTCCATGCTTAAGGTGTCAGGGTTAGTTGGCAGTGAGGGCACACTTGTTGGTTTACATATACTGTCCTTCCTTAGTGGAGGTGGTGGGAGAGGGAAGGACACAGAAAGTTCTTCCTTGTCTCTGGTAGGGGTACTCAGCCCCTCACAGGGCCCCACCCTTCTGATCTCATCCCACCCAGCTGCCCTTCCCATCAGGATTTTCCAGCACAGGAATTTGGAAGAAGAAGAAGAAGAGGGAGGGACCACAGTTTAATCCACATTGTCTTTCAGGAGCATTCGGGGCAGGGGGATATAGCGAGTGCAGAAGTTCTGAGTCTGGTTTACTGCTGTGGTATCTGAGGGACAAGAGAAAATACGAGACTGGAGGTGCAGCTCAGTCGTAGAGCCCCTGCCTCAGTAGTGGAATCCCCCAGTAATGGACTTAGTGGTAGGGTGATAACCCAGCATGTGTGATGCCCTGGGTTCCATCCCAGCACTTCAGAGTCACACTAATGGAAAGAGGCTAGTGTGACCAGAACAGTGATGGAGTGCAGAATCGAGAACAGTGGTGACAGTTTTGGTAAAGGCAGCATTGGGCTGTGGATATAGCTCCTGAAGAGCACATGGTTAACACACACAAGGTCCATCCCCTCGCCCTACAAAACAGAGAAAATAACGAGCATTCGTGCAGCCTCTTGGGGCTGCCTCTTCACAAAAGCATTGCCAAGTTCCCTGCCATACACAGGAGGTCCTGTGTGGAGGATTGGTGTGACAGGTCATTCAGCTCCACTTATGCTGCTGTTCCAACCATGGCCTCTATTACTCCTTCTGTCCAGGAGATACCAAATGGCTGCATGCAGTCCTGGGTTCCGTCCAGCAAAACATCCACTCCCCGGCCCTGCTCTTCAAGTTGGCACAAGATGCCTGCAAGACAGCCACACCAGCCAGCGCACCACCAGACACCATGCTGCTGGGCATTGCACTGGAGCTTGGCCTGCAGGTACTCTAGCTAACATCACCAGGAGGGTGCTGTGTCCTGGGCAGATGAGTGGGAACCCTCTCCTTGGGGCAAAGGCTGACATAGGAGTCACACCTCTGAGGGTGGAGTTATAGACCAAAATTGAAGTGATAGGAGATCACTATAGGTTTGAGGCTCATGATAGGAACTTATCTCCAGGACTGTGATTAAAGATGGAGAGGATCCAGGTGGGCTGGGCAGGGCAGGGTCTGCAAAATAGTGGAGGGGCCACAAGAGGGGCAGAGAATACTGGTAGAATGCTTGCCTAACATGCATGAAGCCCTGGGTTTCGGCCTCAGCACCACATAAGCCAGGTGTGTTGGTGCACACCTGTAATTCTAGCATTCAGGATGTGTAGGCAGGATTGGAAGTTCAGGGTCAACCTTGACTACATAGAGTTGGAGGCCTGGAGATATTATTTGAGACCCTGTCTCAAAAATAAATAAACCCATAAAAAAAAAATCAAAACATCAACACAGACCATGTGCTGGGGTGGGACTCCGCAGGGCTGTAGTAGGTTATACTAGGTCCTGTATTCCATCCCCAGTATAAAATGTTTTTAATCAGAAAAGACAGAAATAGAGCCTGAGGTTGCCTCTTAGTGTCTCAACAGTTAAACTGATGGCTCTTCCAAAGGACTCGTGTTCAATTCCCTGTACCCACATGGCTGCTTACAACTCCAGATCCATAGAATCTGGTGCCATTTTCTGGCCTCTGCTGTCACTACACAGATGTGATGAAGGGTCACAGATGGAGGCAAAACACCCATACACATTAAATAGATAAATAAATAAAATAAAGACCCTCAGAGGTGGGTTCAGAGCTGAGGCCTCAGGGCAGGCAGACATGTCAGAGGTTTCTTTCTGCTGGGATCCACAGAGGGCAGGGGAAAACCTTCTGACTTGAGGTATGCAACTTTCTGAAAAGAGGGCCTGGTTGGCTCATTATAAGCAGGATTTTGAGTGAGGCCTTAAGATCATAGCAGTGGAAGTGAGTATTACTGCAGAAAGCCTCAGCCATGTCATCTTGGTTAATTTTCACAGCACCACCATGCAGTAGATTCTCTCTCTCTCTCTCTCTCTCTCTCTCTCTCTCTCTCTCTCTCTCTTTAAAGATTTATTTATTTATTATGTATACAGTGTTCTGTCTGCATATACACCTGCAGGTCAGAAGAGGCACCAGATCTCATTACAGATGGTTGTGAGCCACCATGTGGGTGCTGGGACTTGAACTCAGGACCTCTGGAAGAGCAGCCAGTGCTCTTAACCTCTGAGCCATCTCTCCAGCCCCTTGATTCTCTTTTTGTAAGATTTGTCTTTATTTACATGCATATGTGTGCTTGTGTGTTAGTTTGCACATGTACATGCAGGTGCCCATGAAGGCCAGAGAAGAGGGCTTCCCTTGGAGCTGGAGTTGGGACATGGGTGCTGTGATCTGAACTTGAGTCTTCTGGAAGAGCAGCAAGCGTTTGAACCCCTGAGCCATCTCTCTGGCCCCAGTCTTTGTTTTTCATGGATATTGGGCATCAAACACAGGTTCTCAGGCTAGCATGGCAAGTCCCGTACTAACTGAGCCGTCTTCCCGGTCCTTTTTCTTTTCTTTTCTTTTCTTTTTTGGTTTTTCGAGACAGGGTTTCTCTGTGTAGCTTTGGTGCCCATACTGGGTCTCAGCTCTGTAGACCAGGCTGGACTGGAACTCACAGAGATCCGCCTGCTCTGCCTCCTGAGAGCTAGGACTTAAGTGTGTTACCATGCCAGGTCCATTTTTAAAAAAAGATTTTATTTTTAATTATGTATGAGTATGTGTGCATACATATGCACAAGGACTGTGCTGTATGTGGATGTGTGCTCATGTGTATGGGTGCCCTCAGAGGCTTCAGATGCCCTGGAGCTGGAGTTAAAGGTGGTTGTGAGCCATCTGCTCTGGGTGCTGGGAACCAAACTCCCACCTCTACAAGAGCACCAAGTACTCTTAACCACTGAGCAACTCTCCCAGCTCTTCCTAGTCTATACTTTCATCTCTATTTTTAAAATTTTATTTTTATTTTATGTGCTTTGGTGTTTTGCCTGCATGTATATCTGTGTGAGGGTGTCAGATCCCCTGGAACTGCAGTTACAGACAGTTGTGAGCTGCTATGTGGGTGCTGGGAATTGAACCCAGGCCCTGTGGAAGAGCAGTCAGTGCTCTTAACCACTGAGCCATCTCTCCGGCCCTATATCCCTATTATAGAGCCAGAAACTGAGGCCAGAGAGATGAGGGCTCTCACCCAGGACCGTTGCATTAGCTCTGCCTACAGCGTCCTTGGGCCTAAGCCATCAGCCACAGCAGGACTCTGAGGACCACCCTCCTCTTTCCCTGCAGGTGATGCGGATGACACTGAACACAATGACTTGGCGGCGCAGAGAGATGGTTCGCTGGCTGGTTAGCTGTGCCACAGAGATTGGTGAGTACTTAGAGGGGCCACTGAAGAAGCCAGACAGGCGCCAGAAAAACTGGCCCTGACTGGCATGCTGTGCAACCCTTTAACCCCAGCACTCGGATGTAGGGCAGGCAGATCTATGAATTTGAGGCTAGCCTGGTCTACATAGGATATTTCAGGACAGCTAAGGCTTCATAGTAAAAGTCTGCCTCAAAGCAAACAAATAAAAACAAAACAAAAGCAGGCCCTTCCCCGTTGGCAGCTCTAGGCCAGCCTGGGAGGGAGCATCCGGTGGGAGAGACGGAGGTCCACAGTCTAGTGGTTGGCCAGGCTGAAGTGGTTAGGAGTGGGGAGGAGGCTTCAGATGCTAGCCATGCCATGGTTTCCACTCAGTCCAGCCACTCTTGCTCCTTTGAAAAAGGGAAAATTTAGCTGGGCGGTGGTGGCGTACGCCTTTAATCCCAGCACTCGGGAGGCAGAGGCAGGCGCATCTCTGTGAGTTCGAGGCCAGCCTGGTCTACAGAGTGAGTTCCAGGAAAGGCGCAAACCTACACAGAGAAACCCTGTCTCGAAAAACCAAAAAAAAAAAAAAAAAAAAAAGGAAAAGAAAAAGGGAAAATTTTCTATCCAGACATGGTGGTTCACCTGGAACACTGAGTAGGTTAAGTCAGGAGTACCCATATTGTAGACAACCTGGGCACATAACGAGACCCATCTCAAGACTCCATGGGTTAGAAGTGTGGCTCAGCAATGGGGTGATCACTTGGCAGGGACAAGATTCCTGACTGCATCTCCCCAGCACCAGTAGAAAAAATTTGTAGCTCATTTGATAGAATGCAGGCCTAGCATGCACTCGGCCCTGTGTTCTCTGGACATGGTGGCACATGTCTAATCCCAGCACATGGGAGGTGGGCCAGGAGGACCAGAAGTTGATCCTTAGCTACATAGCAAGTTTGAGGTGAGCCTGGACTATGAGACCTTGTTTGTTTTTAATTAATTAACTAATTTTATGTGTATGGGTGCTTTGCCTGCATGTATATCTGTGTGCCGCCGCATGTGTACCTGGTACCTGTGGAGGCTAGAGGATGCCTTGGAGTCACCGATGGTTGTGAGCAGTCATGTGGGTGCTAGGAATCAAACCCAGGTCTTCTGGAAGGGCAGCCAGTGCTCTTAACCACTGAGCATCTCTCCAGACCCATGAGAACAGTTAGGCATGATGACCCACACCTTTCATCCCAGCTCTTGGGAGGCACTGGTAGGTGGGTCTCTGAGTTTGAGGTCAAATAGGGCTGCATAGTGAGACCGTCCCCCCCAAGTGGTTCTGCATGGTGAAGCTGGGAGGGTGCAGAGCTGGTGGTCACAGTGGGAAGGGAAATGGGGAGTCTTGCATGCGCGCGCACACACACACACACACATACACACACACACACACACACACACACACACACACACACACATACACACACACATACACACACACACACACACATACACACACACACACACACACACACACACACACACACACACACACACACACACACCATTCCCTCTCCCCACGCCCAGGCCCACCAGCGCTGATGAGCATCATGAAGAACTGGTACTCCTTGTTCACCCCAGTGGAGGCAGTCACTATCGTGGCAGTGACGGGCACCACGCACACCACTTTGCTGCGACTGCAGCTAGACACTGCCGGGCGAGAGGAGCTCTGGGCCTGTGCCCGCACCTTGGCACTGCAGTGCGCCATGAAGGACCCCCAGAACTGCGCTTTGCCAGCCCTGACCCTGTGTGAAAAGAATCACGCAGCCTTCGAGGCTGCCTACCAGATTGTGCTGGATGCCGCAGCTGGTGGCCTCGGCCACGCCCATCTGTTCACCGTGGCGCGATACATGGAACACCGAGGCCTACCTTTGCGGGCCTACAAGCTGGCCACACTAGCCTTGGCGCAGCTCAGCATCGCCTTCAACCAGGACAGCCACCCCGCGGTCAACGATGTGCTGTGGGCCTGCTCACTCAGCCACTCGTTGGGACGGCATGAGTTGTCAGCCATTGTCCCTCTTATCATCCGCAGCATCCATTGTGCACCTATGCTCTCAGACATCCTACGCCGCTGGACGCTCTCAGCGCCCGGTCTGGGCCCACTGGGGGCTCGCAGGGCTACCAAGCCACTTGGGACTGACAGGGCACCACTTTGCCAGCTCCTGGATGCTGCGGTAGCTGCCTACATAACCACCAGCCACTCACGCCTCACTCACATCAGCCCACGTCACTACGGTGACTTCATTGAGTTCCTGGGCAAAGCCCGAGAGACCTTCCTTCTGGCACCAGACGGGCACCTCCAGTTCGCACAGTTCTTAGAGAACCTTAAACAGACCTACAAGGGGAAAAAGAAGCTGATGCTATTGGTTCGAGAGCGGTTTGGCTGAGGGACTGCAGATTACTGGGAGCATGGGTATGCCCTGGCCTGCCTTCCCGAAGCAGGAGGCCCGTGGCTACTTAAGGGTCAAGTCTCGGAATGTGGGAGGCAGGAGTGATGCCATTCCAAGTGTGTGCCTAGGAGTATGCAGACAAATGGGAGATCTGAGGATCTGAAGCCATACTGCTAACTAGAGGCCTGCAGGGGGCGTGCCTGGGCACCCCACAAGCAAGAGGCAAGGCTCTGGCTCTCCCAAACTCACAGGGTTAGCTAGGGCTTCCAGGAGAAGGGCTGGAGTCAGAACTTTCCAGAAATTAGTTCTTGAATTCAGTGTAGCAGATCCTCCAGAGCCCACCCAGGGGCCTGGGGACTTCACATCAGGGTAGTTCAATCCCTTGTGTTTCTTTCCTCTCGTACAGCTCAGGGGTCCTGTCCCACTGCCCTGCGCTCCCAGCCCACGCTGCCAGCACAAATCAATGCCTCACCCCACTGAAGGATATCAAGAGGCTTTGGGCCTCTGCCACATACCTCACCCCCAAACACCCTGTCCAGCCAGGACCTGTCTTGTCTTGGGCACCAAGGTCACAGGGTAGGATGGGGACAGCTCTCTGCTGCCCGGACCCCACCACTAGTAACTGGATACACAACTCAGGAACCAGGCTGCCCTCCAACCTGTTGTGGGAGGTCCAGGCAGACAGCCAGGGACTCTCCCCTGTCTTCCTTTCGCTCTACACGGCTGTCTCTGTTTCCCCACTTCCTTTAGTTCAGCCATTTCTGCATCTCTCTCAAGTCCCAGCTGCTGACAGAGGCTCCCCTGTATCCCAGGCCTTGGCCCAGGGAAGAAGAGAAGGGAGAGCCTCCACCCCAGAAGAACCTGTTTCTCTTGTATATTAAGGAAAAAGTTGGCATCATTTTGTAACTTTTTTTTCCTATTTATTGAATTCCATGCTGTATTCCTTTCCTTTTTTAAAAAAAAAAAAAAAATTCAATTTTGGTTTTTGGGCACAGTTTCAAGAGTGGGACAGGAGGGGCTGCTGGCTTCCTCCAGTAGCATCGGGGTGACAAAAGAGCAGCTCTGCGGCTTTGGCTTTGGCTTTACCGTCTGCATGTCACAGCCCCCCTGCAAATCAGGCGCCTGTTGCGCAGCCTGAACAGCGCAAGAAATGGCCACCAGGGGGCGCCGGGCTCCAGACAACGAGCTCGGGAGGTCGCGCCAGGTACGGAGTGCAGCTGGGGACGCCTGGAGCTGACGGGGACTCCTGGGCCCACGGTGGCGTGCCCATTGCACATCTGGGCTACGGGTGAGCCTCCCAGTTCTCAGATGGATTCATCCAGGGGCCGTTGCCTTGGTTTTCTTCTCATTCTCGGGTTCTTTGTATCCTTTAGCCACTGACGGATCGGGTCATGGTCTAGGATAGTTGGGCGGGGTGTGGGGGAGGCCGCTATGGGGCGCTGCAGCAGTGCGCGAGTTCTGGCACTGAGGGAGCTGGCTGTGACTTGGCTCCTGGTGCTCCTTTGCTCAAGGGAGCCAGTCGGAGGTGACCCTGCCTAGCAGGTCCCTCAGTACTTCAGGTGCCTGAGTCCCTGGCACCTTGCCAGCCAGTGTATCCTGGCGTATGCAGAGCACTCTTTGGGACCTGGGACATTGCTTCTGGGTTCTCAATCTCGCACATACTCCCTCACGGAACTGGGGTGCAGCACAGGTTTGTCAGCCACTAATGTAGCCCTGTTAGGCTTAGTGACTCCTTCCTATCACCTCAAACCAAAGTTCCTTTCCACGTTCATTCTCTAATACACCCCAGGCCTGAGTTATCCCTCCGGTCCAAGCAGCCCCCAAGTGTCACTCACTCAGGATCTCGACACAGCACTCTCTGATCAGGACCCCTCTGACCACAGAAATAAACTTACACCTTCCTGGAAGCGGGTGGGGCAGGGTTGGAGATAGGTGGGAGCCAGGGTGGGGGCGTAGCAGGGCACCTAGTATTCCAAAACTCCAGACACTGGGGGAGGACTGACTCAGGTCAGCCTGGGCTACACAGAGAGACACCGCCTCAAAAGAAGAAGAAAGCCAGCAGTCCACAGTGGGAGGCAGGAATGAAGAAACATCAGACCTTAAGGAATGAAGCCGGGCAGCTTTTATTTAATTGGAAAACAGGCACAGCATTCAATACAAGCTCCGCCTCTCTCCCTCCACCCAAGCTTCCATTTGCCCCTACCCAGGGTGGGGAGAGGACTCTGGGTGATCTAGGAAGTGGAACTCGGCCCCATGCCAACTAGTCTGCATCCAGTCCGGTTTGGGGATAGCAGCCTGGAGACTACTCCAACACGCCACAGTCCCAGGGGAGGGAGGAGGCTCTGTTCATATCCTTTGAGGGCCTGTGGACCTTGCCCCCGGTGTCACTGCCAACAGTGGAAAGCTGCAGGCCTCTCGGGGGTGCTAGGCACACTGGATAGGGCCAGTGCCTTGTTGCGGAAGCTGGGAGTTGGCATTTAACGGTCAGAGGGCCTAAAGCAGCTTCCTCTTGGGTAACTGACTGTAGGGAAGGTGTGTGTAAGGGGTAGTGCCTGGGCCCCACTGGGCTTAGGAGAGGGAGGGCTGCAGGCCCTGAGGGAACACAACTGGCTTGCCTTTTTATGCAAGGACCACCCACTCATCCATCTGTTCTTTGTGGGAACCACAAAGATCTCAAGGTGTGGCCGTGTGGGTTGGGATACCCAGATGCAGGCTTAGAGGATGGGCCTACAGCAGATAGCTGGGCCTAGGCACAAACGACCGCCTCATTGCTCCCAGGTCCCCATTCCATCCAGGTCTCAGGTCATGGCAGACATTCTGCAGGGGTGCCAGCTCCTAGGGGGCTGGACTCCTGTTCCTGCTGAACTGAGCCAGTGCACTGGAATCAACTGTTTCAGCTCAGTAGGCACAGGAGGCGGAGCCCAGGGAGAAGGAGGCCTGCAGGGTGGGCAGCGGCGTCTGAGGAGATGGGGCCCGGTGGGGCGGAACTTAGCCACTGTGAACACGACTCACTGTGGACCTTGCTCACAAGCAGCTAAGCCCTGCTCCTCAGGCCAGTTGTCATGCTGGGTTTCTCTGTCACCTGGTACCCAGGATAGGCATCGTTGGCAACAGGAGCCCCCAAGGCAGAGCCCAGGGTCAGTTGGAAATCCCTGGCAATGTGATTTGTGACTGGCATCAAATCCCATCGCCAGGAACCCCAGCCGGCCGAGGCACAGTGAGGGGACAGCAGGTGGATCGCAGTGTAGCACCTATGGGAGAAAGAGGAGACAGAATGAGACTGGGAATATTCCTGCTTGCCTGCCTGTCTTTTGTTATTTACTTCAGGCAGGGTCTCACATAGCTGAGGCAGTTTCTGAACTGGTGATTCTCCTGCCTCCACCTCTGGAGTCTTGGATTACAGGCTCACCTCTCCACACCCAGTTTACAGGGTGCTAGGGACAGAACCTAAGCTCTGCTTGCTGAACCACACCCCAGCCCTCCATCTGCTTCCAGGAGGGAAGAAGCCAACAGAGGAGCATCAGTAGGGAGAAAGGAGTGAGCCAGCCAGATGCTGGGCGCCCAAGAGTGCGGCCAGCCCCAGCCCTACAGGGCCGGAGGTGCCCGGAATGTCCTAACAGGTCAAATAGGGCGCAAAGGCTTCTCAGCTGGGTTCCACACACTTTGTTTCTCTCCCCGCCCACAGCCCTGAGCCCAAAGAAGGCCAAATGGGGCTGTGGAGAGAGGAAGCTGAGGGAGGTGGGCGGTTGGGGGGAGGAAGTGACCTCACCCCAGCTGGCGCCACTTCCTAGAAGCCTGAAGGGCAGAGGGAACTCCAGCACCTCCCGCCTGTGCCTCCATTGCTGTCTTCTCCACAGACACCTCAGATACACCCGACCCCAACCAACCCAGCACCCAAGCTGGGGAAAGCGGGCCTCTCCATCCCAATACCTCAGCAAAGTTTAAGTCCCTGTTCCTCCAGTTTCCCAGAGGCCTTCAAGCCTCAGTTTCCCCATCTGTAAAGTAGACCAAGAAGCATTGCAGTTGGTGGCTCAAACTCATCTCTGCATTGAGGAGACTGAGGCAGGAGCGTTGCCAAGAATAAAGGCCTGCTTTAGCAACATAATGAGTTTTAGGCCAAGCTGGGCTATAGTCTGAGACCCTAGTCCTAAAGAACAAAACAAAACAAACAAAAAACAAAACCCTCTACCAGGTAGGCCAATGTTAATTGACTGATAAGATGCTATTTGGCACTCAGTACCAGGACAAGCCACAGATTTTAGGACCTACCCAGTGTAGAATAGCTTTTCCTGCATGCCAATTAAAACTTTCAGGGGCCAGAAAGAAGGTCCAGCAAGTAAACACACTAGCCATCAAGCCCAATGCCCTGAGCTCAAACCCCAAGAACCACAGAGTAGAAAAACATACCTCCTGCAAGTCGTCCTCTGCGCTTGTGACACCACACACACACACACACACACACACACACACACACACACGTGTAAATTTTTTTTTAAATTTTTTTAAATTCAGGGTTGGAGAGATGGCTCAGGAGCTAAGAGCAGTTGTTATTCTAGCAGAGGAGCTACATACATTCCCTTCCCAGAACCCACATGACAATCACAGCTATCTATGACTCCAGTGCCAAGAGCTCTGATGCTCTCTTCCGTCCTCTGTGGATACCAGGCACACATATAGGGCACATACATACATGTAGGCAAACACTCATACAATAAAATAAATTCTCAGGAATGTTTAGTCCCAGCACTTGAAAGGCAAAAGAAATCAGATCTCTGTGAGTTCGAGGCCAGCCTGGACTATGTAGGGCATTTGAGACCAGCGAGAGCTACATAGTGAGACCGTGTCTTAGATAAAGCATGGAGAGATGACTCGGTGGTTAGGAGCATGTACTGCTCTTGCAGAGGACCTGAGTTTGACTCCCAGCACCCACATCAGGCGGCTCACAACTGCTTGTGACAGCAGCTCCAGGGGATTTCACTCCCTCTTCTAGTCTCTGAGGGTACTACACCGACACGCACAAACCCACACACAGACCAGACAACACACATCTTTAAGAAGTTTCAGAGTCTGAGGTGATAGGTCATCAATAATGTGATTGCCATGCAAATGCAAGGTACTGCATTATCCCCAAGCATGGAAGCTCACACTTAAATCTCAGTGCTCGGGAGGCGGAGCTAGAAAACCCCTAGGGCTCACAACCACCTACAGCACCTTTTTGTCTGGCTCCAGGTGCCAGTGAGATACCCTGTTTGAGAAAAATGGTAAGGGCTGGGAAATGGTTTAATGGTTAAGAGCGCTTGTCCCCGCCCCCCGCACCTCCCCTTGGATTTCTCTGTGTAGCCCTAGCTGTCCTGGATCTCACTCTGTAGACCAGGCTGGCCTCAAACTCACAGAGATCCCCCTGCCTCTCTGCCTGTGTGCTAGGATTAAAGGCGTGTGCCACCATGCCTAGCAGCACTTTTTGCTCTTGCGGAGAACATGAGTTCAGTTCCCAGCATCCACATGGTAGCTCACAACCATCTGTAACTTCAGACTCACAAGATCCCATGTCTTTGATACCTTAGGACACCAGGCACACACATTCCTGAGAAACTGCACATGAGGTTGTACTCTGTACACACACACACACACACACACACACACACACACACACACACACACACAAGTTTCTGATAACTCAGGAGGAGGAGGGTAAGATTTTCAGATAGCCCATGCCACACACCAGGACGGGGTCTTGACCCTCTCAAAAGGAAAAAGGGAAAGGAGAGGGGGAAAGGCCTTTGCTAGGTGAACTCAACTCTGGAGCTTGTCTGCCTGCAAGGGAGCTGTGTGGCTTCTTTGCTGGTTGACATAGTCAAAGAAGACAGCCTCTTTGGGACAAGTCTTTATCTGCAAAACAGCAATAATAAATTATTTCAGACCCTGGTGTGATAGTATGGGCTTGTAATCCCTGCATCCAGGAGGGATGGAGGGGGGGAACT